CCTTAATGGCTGACACTCTATTTATGACCTTTTATAAATACAATGTCTTTCTTCATCCACATCCTAGATTCATGCCAAAAAATCACTTGAGTTCCATGTCAGTCAGTCCATTAGTCTACCAGTGTTTTTTCCCAGACCTCATTTGAGTAAGGGCAAATCAAAGCTGCATTGTTTGCAGGAGCACTGCCAGCTTTTCTGCCGCCCTAGGCGGAGGAAGGTCCCGCCCCGAAATGCCGCCCCCCACGGAGGTGGCGGAAGGTCCCGCTGCAGAAATACCGCCGTGGTCGCTGCCCCCCAAATTGTAGCGCCCTAGGCGACCGCCTAGGTCGCCTAATGTGTTGCACTGGCCCTGATTGTTTGGATGCAAAAAGAGTTTTATCATTCTGTTTCAATAGGAAAAAGGACTTTAGGTCTTTGCATAAATTGCTTGTTTCATATGCTGGTAATGATAAAGGAAATCTTGCATCAGCACAAACATTATCAAGATGGGTCAGACAGTGTATAATAGAAAGTTATAAGAGTGCATCACGATCTCCCACTCTTCAGCTCTAAGCACACTCCACTAGGGTGATGGCAGCATTGGTGGCATGTATGAGACATGTTCCACTACTAGAAATTTGTACAGCAGCCATGTGGAGTCAAAACACATATTCATTAAACATTATCTGTTATATATGGTCAGATGCACAGTTGGTAGATCTGTGCTTCAGTCCTTGTTTAGTTAGGACTCCATACCCACCATCCTATTTAAAATATGTACTATGGACTAAACTATACCAGGAGTGGGACTATGCAGAGAACAGGGTCAAAGAAGAAATTAATATTACTTACCTGTAACTGAGATTCTTTGAGATGGATTCTGCATATTCACATGCCCTGCCCTCCTTCCTCTGTTTTGCGGGGTCCTGTTTTCTACTGGCTCAGCATTAGTAGTGGAAGGAACTGAGGCAGTAACTGCTGCCTCCCTCCCTTTTATAGCCTCGTCCTCAGCATAATGCTTGGAGGCTGAGGGTAGGGGCAGAAAGGGGCATGCGAGTGTTTGACTAGGCACTGCTAGTAGAAGATTGCACCATTCAGTGACACCATCAGCACATATCCAATGGTATGAATATGCAGAATCCGTTTTGAAGAACTGGATACAGGTAAGCAACCTTTGTATTAAGGTTGTCTCTGCAACCTTCATTCGGCCCCCTTATGCATATGCATTATGAGACACTTTTTAATTACATGGTCAGAACTGTAACTGTAAGCCTCCACCCTCCATGTCCTATCATCATCATCATCATCATCATCAGGGACATTGCAGCACAGACTACTACTACTTGAGCTACCAGACTAGCTAGGTTAGCTAGCAACAGGAGAAGGCTGCAGTCCTGGGGGGAATGATCTACTGGTACTGTGCATTTGGCTGAGGGGAAAGCAACCCCTCTCTCTCTCTCTCTCTCTCTCTTCTCCCTTCCCCCCCTTCCCCATGTGGTTCCCCGAAAAGGAATGAGGCATACTGATCAACATTTTCAAATTCGTTTCAGGAAACATCCCACCCCTTTAGACCCCAGCCTCCAACACCCCTGATGCCCTCCCAACACCCCCACTGCTAACCTCACTGCCCTGCCTCCAGCCCCACAACACCTCCACTGCTAGCCCTACTAACACACCACCACTGCCATCCCCTTGCCAACTCACTAATACTCCCATCCAGTCTCCTTAGCCTTTCCCAGCCCATCCAATGCCTCCAGCCTGTAGTAGGGTTACCATATTTTAAAATAACAAAAAGAGGACACTCCAAGGGGCCCCGCCCCTGCCCCCAACTCCGCCCCCTTCCCAGCCCCTTCCCCGCCCCCACCCCAACTCCGCCCCTCTCTCAAAGTCCCCGCCCCAACTCCGCCACCTCCCCTGAACGCTCTGCCCCCTGCTCCTCCCCCTCCCCTGCTTCCTGCGAATCAAATGTTCGCGGGAAGCCTGAAACAAGCAGGCAGCAGGTAAGCTGGGGCTGGGGCTGGGACGGGGGGAGGCGCGGCCCAGTCTGGCCCCCTGGCCGAGTGGCTCCGGCCCTGGCAGCTCCAGCTCGGCTCGGACCCCGGGGCACGGGCACCGGCCCCGGCCGAGCGGCACCGGCCCCAGCGGCTCCGGCCCGGCTCAGCTCAGGCCCCGGGGCACCGGCCCTGGTTCTGGCCGAGCGCGCTGGCCCCGGCCGAGCGGCTCCAGCCCGCCCCGGCCCCGGTGGCTCCAGCTCGGTTCGGGCCCTGGGGCACGGGCACCGGCCCCAGCTGAGCGGCTCCAGCCCCGGGGCACCTGCCGAGCGGCTCCGGCCCCAGGGACTCCAGATCGGATCAGACCCCGGGGCACCGGCCCGTCCGGCACCAGCCCTGGCCCCGGGCGAGCGGTGCCGGCCGGCGGCCGAGCACCGCCGGCCCCAGCGGCTCCAGCCCAGATCCAAGCCCCACGACCCCTCCCTATTTTCCCGGACATGTCCGCTTTTTGGAATTTCCCCCTGGACGGGGATTTGAGGACCAAAACGCCGGACATGTCTGGGAAAATCCGGACGTATGGTAACCCTACCCTTTAGGACACACAACAAAGCAAGCAGAGTTGCAGCCCCACCCCCAGTGTGGGCCCTGCCCCAGGAGGGCTATCCCAAGCTCAGCTGTAGGCTACGTTCTGGGAGGCAGGGCTGCATTTACACCCAGAGAAGTGAAGACAAGACATTCACTCTTGGCCTGGTGCTTTCAGCAGAATAGAAGTGCACAGGTCTACCCCTTCCTGGCTGCACCAAGTTCCAAAAGAGGGGGCAATATCCCCCTGATACCCCTCTTGTTGCACTTTAAGGCCTGGGGAGAAAGGGGCATTAACCCCTCCCCACCCCCTGCTGTGTTGAGTCCCAGAGTGAGTGGGGCTGTGTCCCCCTCTCTGAACTCCCCATCTATCTGCTCCCTGCAGTGGTCAGGGCCTGGGGAAGAACGGGGCATGACTGCCCCCTCCCTGACATACTGCCACCGCCACCTTACCTGACTCCACTTCACACTGCTAGGGCTCCGCACCACCACAGCAGCCCTGTTCTTCAAAGCTTCCATCCCTGTGCCATTGGTCACCAAGCCCATCCAACTCTGCCCTTTCTGAACTCCCATTGGTTGAACCAAAAGGAGAGCAAAGGTCAGCTATATTACCCAGCATGTTGTATATCTGCCATATGTCAGGGCCGTCCTTAGTGGGTGCAGGGCCTGGGGCGGAAGTGACGGATTCGTCTCTTCTGGGACTGACCGCACTGACCAATTGCACCAGCCCGCGGGGATCCCCAAAGCGTGGGGCCCAGAGTGGGGGGGCCCGGTGCAGAAGTGACGGATTCGTCTCTTCTAGGACCAACCACACCAGCTAATCGTACCAGCCTACCGGGCCTCCCAAAGCACGGGGCCTGGAGCGGTTGCCCTGATTCGGTCTACCCAAGGGACGGCTCTGGCCAGAGTTTCTCCAAACAAAGGCTGATGTGCATGTGTAGCTGACACATATTCTGCGTAATGTTGTTTTTATGCAGGAAATGACATTAAATTGGGAATGGGGAGTTTTTGGTTGCAAACGGGAGTCTCCCTGGCATACTGGGAGACTTGGTCTGTCTGGGGTGGGCTGGAACATGGGGGACATGTGCCATGGGGAGTCTGAACCAGTTTCCCCAGTCCCAGAAAGGCTGTCTGGTCCCCAGGGTTCCTCAAAGGGTAACGGGTCCTCCTCCGGCTGCTACTGCTTAGGCAATAGCCTGAGCCCAGCCATTTGGAATGTTCACGTTCAGTTATTGTTCTGTCAGGTTGCCAAAATTTTCCTGAGGAATGCAAATGAGAGGAGAGAAGTGGTGATTTTCAGCAGTTTATATCTCACCCAAACCTTAATGGAATTTCAAAGAAAAAGTGCTTCTCTAACCAAGTAGTTCTCAACCAGGGGTACACGTACCCCTGGCGGTATGCAGAGGTCTTTCAGGGGGTACATCAATTCATCTAGATATTTGCCTAGTTTTACAACAGGCTACATAAAAAGCACTAGCAAAGTCAGTACAGACTAAAATTTCACATGGACAAAATGAGAAAAGTAAGCAATTTTTCAGTAATAGGGTGCTGTGACACTTTTGTATTTTTGTGTCTGATTTTGTACGCAAGTAGTTTTTAAGCAAGGTGAAACTTGGGGTTCACAGGACAAATCAGACTCCTGAAAGTAGTCAGGAAAGGTTGAGAACCACTGCTGAAGCCTAAAGGCATTCCCTCTTCTGAATTTCAAAGGCCTGTTGTTAGAGCTTGTCAAAAAAGGTCACAAGAATCATTTATACTAGGTGTTAGGCCACCTAAATATAATGGTCACTATTAACTCCTCCTGCAATAAAACAAATCACATTTGTTGTCCTAGCAGCTGGTGTGCTGCTTTTTTCTGTGGGTGTTTCTATCTGGACAGGTCTGAATGATATCACAGGATGTTTCTCAGCACTGCTGTTTACTAATGAAGGTGATAATCAGTGAATGATTGACTTGGATTGACTAGGACTCTCAGTCATCGCTGAAAAAAAGCCTATGAATTGGGCCTCCCCTATTTGGGTTTTAATGAAATCCTTGAATGAAAGCAGTAATGATATTTCTTTACTGATGGCTAAAGATGGGCCTAGATTCAAACAACCCTGAGCTTTGGGGAAGTTCTGTCCCAGCTCTTCTGATTACTAATAAAAGTTTTCACTTTTATCTCTTGAGAGTAGGATTAGCAGTATAAATCTAATTTTTGTAGTTACTGATGGAAATTAGTGTATTTTGAATTAGATATCGTGTGCTGTGCACATTCATATCTCTGGTTCTTAATGCTGTATCGATCTGTCAACAATCTATAAATTGCTCATAGAGAAATATCATACCAAATATATAACAGCTTGTAATAAAAACTACTCTTTTGATTCATGTAAACTAGTGGTATTGTGTTATAACAGTGACCTTTTTTCTTTTTCTTTTTCTTCTCTTTTTTTTTTGCTATTTCAGTTATTTGGTTGTTTCTTAGCATGGGAGACTCGAAATGTCAGCATTCCTGCTTTGAATGACAGCAAATACATTGGGATGAGCGTATACAACGTGGGGATCATGTGTATTATTGGAGCTGCGGTTTCATTCCTCACTCGGGATCAACCCAATGTTCAGTTCTGCATTGTTGCTTTAGTCATTATATTCTGCAGTACCATTACACTCTGCCTTGTTTTTGTACCTAAGGTAGGTGAATTCATTTATGCTAGTATTTACATTGTTACTTGATTTTTGTATGGTAATTCTATATTAATTTCATTACTCCTACAAGCAAGAGGAATATGTGAGATTTCTAAATCAAGCCAATCTGTTATGCATTAAATTATCTCTGAGCCCTAGTGGGAGAGGGGGTGAACTTCCATGAGATTTTGGAGAAAGATGAATACATAAAGCAAAAGGTGCAAGAACTTGAATACATACATTTCTAATGCATACATCTCACTATCTCACTAAGTCTGCGGGAAACAATGATTTGCATCTATAATTTGAATAGGTCTCTGGTTCCTTCTTTTAAGGAATGCAAGAGAGGAAGGGTGCTATTCATAGGCTTAGAAGACCTGGGTTCAATTTTCTGCTGTGCCTCAGACATGCTATGTGACCTAAGGCAAGTTACTCCATCTCTCTAGCTATGTCTACACAGCCCACAGCAGCTCAGGTCAACAGACTCAGCCTCATGGGGTTTGTGCTGCCATGCTAAACATAGATGTGTAGACAGTGCTTTGAAGTTCTGGCTCAGGCTGGAGCTTGGGCTGTGGAGTCCACTGCTCTCCTTAGGCTTCCAGAGCCTGAGCTCCAGCCTGAGCCACCTCACCTCCACAGCTACTTTTAGTGCAGTAGCATGAGCCCTGCAAGCCCAAATCTGTCAACCCAGCCTGGGAGGCTCACTGCCACGGGCTGTGTAGACATACCCTCTATGCCTTGGTTCCTTATCTGTAAAACAGCCATAAGAGTGTTGGTCTACATTAGAGGGGTATTGTGAGGATAAATATGTTAAGGACTGTGAAGCACTCAGACACAGCAGGAATGGTTGCCACATAATAGAATCTCCTAGGAACACAGGATTTGTAATATAAAAGCAGACTATTGGTCCATCAAGTCTGGGATGCTGCCTACATTAGTGGCCAATATCTGATGCGTCCAAGGGGGGCCCTCCCAAAAAAGCCTAATGCATCTCACCAACTGTGCAATTCGATGATAGAAGGAGAGAGGAATTCTTTCCTGACCCATGTAGATGTGCCCTGAAACACAAGATTTAATTGCCTTTTATTATCTTTGAGCTCCTCTTGTATATTTATATTATGCACTGGTGGAATGAATCAGAATGTATTCACAAAGAGCCAGAGTCTGATGTCACTCCACAAATAGTCCCATTCACTTGTGAAGTGAGGTGCTAGTCAAGGTGAGTCCAACAGAATCTGAGTCAAAGGGAAATTGATTCCTATGGGAGTCTGACTTAGTAAAGACCTCATTTTTTGGAAATCTACTTGATATTTTGAAGTAAAATAAACATAAATTAAATGTGTAGCCTGGATGACTTTCATATAGTTAGTTGGAGACTGGATGCCTCAGAGACTGGGAGCCTTTCACCTCTAGGTCACCAGGTCCAATCCAACTAAGGTTAATAACGACCAAATGTCAACGATTCTTTAGTGGCTTATGTAAAGTAAGTTTGTGGCATCTGTTCCTAGCCAGAAGAAAAAGCAGTTCTTAGTGAACAGGTGTCCACACCACAAAACTGCCAACACATCTGGCAGTGATTGGCATTTTCAGCAGATAGACCAACTACAAATGGGAGCAGGAACTGAACTACTAAATCTCCTCTAAATGTGGTCCCTGTAGGTGAGGGTTGAGACATGTGGGTGGAATGTCACGTTAGCTTACCAGTAGTGCTTTATGCATTCTGCGGTTAGAGTAATTCAGTCTCTAGGGCTGTATAGTCCAACTTTTTTATACTGGCTGCTACAGAAGAATTACTTACAAGATAGCCATAAGTTAAGAGAGCCTATTCATAAACACAGTCATGAAGCAAGAGATTTAGGAGAACTGGTGAATAACAAATTGAATATGAATGCATATTTCCCCATAGGATCTTCTTTATTTTCTTCAAAGGAAAACAACTTGACAAAATCTGACAAGACCATCCCTATCACACCTCTCCATCACACTCTCCTCCCTCTCCCCTATCACAGACACTGAGACTGCTTCCCAGCTTTCATCTAACCCCTGCCCCTGCCCTGCCCTGCCCTGCCCTCCCCTCCCATCCCTTCCCATTTCTTAGGCTGACTCACCCCTGCTCTTCTTCTTCTCCTCAGCTTCTCACTCTCCTCAGGTTCCTTCCACTCACAATGCAAATATGCACTGATGTCTCCGAGCATAAAAAAATCTCAACCCCACCCCATCAATCTATTATCTTATTGCCAAGCTCCCAGGGAAAATCCATAAAGCCACCAAATTGCCCTTTTTCACATCCCTCCTCAGAACTCTCTGCCATAATGCATACAGAATACTGAAGCCCGATCATGGCTAGTCAGGAGGAGTGCTGTGATCACTCCTCCTGAAGGGCTAAAAACTGTGCATACCATCTTAGGTTGGTTGTCCTGCTTCCCCTTCCCTCCATCCTAGCCCACTTGTTTGTCTCCGCCCCCTGTTATGTCTTGTCTTTTAGACTCTAAGCTCTTTGGGGGCAAGGACTATTGCTTACAGTGTTTGCACTGTGCCTAGTAAAATGGGGCCCAACCTGGTTGTGGCCTTTTTGTGCTTTTTGTGCTATTTAATATAAATATTAAATAAAATAATAATTATAATTATAATTATAATAATTAATAATAAATCTGTCAAATCAGTTCTAGAATATAATTACAGGATAGTTACTTGTATGACTAGAGAGGCTTTATTGATATTGCATGATGCTTTGGCAAGTTGTGGTGTATTTAATTTATCTGAATGGCTGTTCTTTATTTTAGTCTACTAATGGCTGCCTACTCCTCCTCCCCTGCTGCTGAACTCCCACCCAGTCTAAAATCCCTGTGATCCCTTTGTCGGTACCTCTCTTTCTCATTCTATCTCGGGCTTCTCTCTGCTCACCGCATTCCTTGTAACTATAGGGTGTAAGAAATTTTCAGACAGAAGTGTGATTTTTAAGTTGAATGTTTCCCTTTGAAGGATGAAAATATCAATGAAAGGAAAGAATTAACAAGGGATGATGCAGTAAATTTTAAAAATAATATATTAAACTGGAACTTTAAGAAACATTTCCCAATAATTGGAAAAAATGGAACAGTTCATCTTGCAAGGTTATTATAGCTCAACAGTCTGCATGGTCACAGAGAAATTGTACTCCATGTGGAAAGTAAAGTGTACCTTCTATTATTTTTATTTGGGGGGCCAGAAGAAACTGATATAAAAATAAAATCCTCTGCAGAATTTCTCACAGCTTTTAAACCTTTCAGTTAATCACACTGAGGACAAATCCTGATGCGGCCACTCAGAACAGACGTTTCCAATTCACTCAAAATCAAAAGAAGGAAGACTCAAAAACATCAACATCAGTCACCAGTGTCAATCAAGCCAGTACATCTCGGCTAGAAGGACTGCAGTCAGAAAACCACCGCTTGAGAATGAAAATCACAGAGGTATCATTTATTGTATACACTAAACCAGATAAATCTGTCCTGTGGATGAAATACGTTATTTGCATAGCTGTATAGCCATACAAAGCTTAACCTTACTCATTTTTTTCAACTAAAACCTCATAATTTTAGCCTGTGTTTCTAAAGAAAGAAAGTTGGTTAGCAAGTGGGAAAAAATTAAAATCATAAGTATTGTCATACTTATAAACTAATAAAGATGAGACACTTCATCTCATCACAGATGATACCTGTATCAGCTTTATGTGAAACTTCCCTCGTTTCTGAGAATTCCCAACAGGTACATTAAGTCTCTATGTTACCTGTAGACAGACTAAACACCTCTAATTGTACAGATGTAGTTGTAAAAGTGCAAATCTTATATCATGACCACCATGGGACTCAAAGAGTAGGTATGGTATATTGACATTTTTTATTGTACCTTGCAGCATCCCAATAATAGTTCCACTTTTACTGAGTTGGTCCAATACCCCAATTTTGAGGTAGCAGAGGCAGAGTGTTCTAGTGGATAAGGTACAATGCTGTGGATCAGGAGATCTGGATTCTGTTCCCATTTCTGCTGCTTAATTGCGGTATGACCTTGATCATGTCACTTCACCTTTCTGTGCCTCTGTCTGTACAGTGCCTAGCAAAATGGGACTCTGATCTTGGTTGGCACTTCAGGGCACTACCATAGTATAAAATTCCTATTAGCATGGCCTAATACTATGTGTGGTGCTCTAGTCTCTGAATACAAATATCAAAATCCAACAGATGTGGATCTCCCTTCGGACTTGGAGATGTGTTAAGGGAAACACAGCAGCTTTGTCTTCAGAGAGCTGGCAAGGGGAGCTGCTGCCCCGTAAGGTCCATGGTAAGGTTTTTTGGGCAATGGGTTGCCTGCCCCACCTCCCCATTCAGCAAGAGGGTATAAAAGTCCTTGCTCCCATTGTTACCCTTCTGCAGCTGATCCTGCAGCCTGATTCACAGTGTGCACTCACTAGGGAAAGCCAAGGTTCTCCTCTATATGGTTGCCTTCGCAAATCCACATTGTAGGAATTAACCACTGAGCCTCCTGAGTCCCTGACCCACTTTAAAGCAATTAGTCAGTGACGCCATTCGTGGTGATAGTTCGAGGCATTCTGCTCCCTGTTATAAAAGGTGTGCAGCCCCACTACCCTCACATCTTCTCTTCCCACCCTCCTACAGAACCATTTTCACCACCATCTCTCAACACTGTGTCAATATTTATTTATAAACGGCTTTTACATTTGTTAGTTAAGCTAATTCCACAGCTAGTGCTACAAATTATTCACAGATTTTTAAGACCAGGAGCAGGATCAGATTAAAGAATTTGGGGACTCTGTGCACTATGGTAATTGGAGGGCCCCCCTCCTTTCTAAAGTGTCCCGCCCCACACACAGACACCAGAATTCTCCTTCACCCCACGTATGCCCCAACAATCCTCCACCAGTCCTTGCTTGTTGTGACAGGCCCATCACACATCCCAGCAGCCCTAACATATACCCCACTCACCACAACTCCAACCCCTCAGCCCCACTAACCACAGCTCCCAACATCCCCCATTCGCCCCACAGCCCCCACAACTCACCCCATCTCCCCCCACTTGCCCCCAATATCTCACCCTGCAGCCCCCTCCCAACACCTCCCACTCACCTCATAGCCCACAACTCTCCCCCTGCCCCTCACCTCCAGGACCATCCTGGTCACTCACTGACACCTCCCTAGCTCAGTGCTCCACTCCCTGCCCGGGCTAGGGAAGTTCCTCCCAATCTTGGCCACCCAACTCTGCTTTCTCCCATCACTCTCCTGCCCCATCCCTTTCATCTTAGAATTCTTGCCATTTTTAATGAAGACTGGCTTGTCTACTGCATGATTAAATTACACCTGGTGGTGGTTTCTGCTTACCACTCTAATGTGACATTGTCATCTGTTTTACTCACCCGCCTGTGAAACATTTTCTTAAAAGGGTTATTGCATTTGTATCCACCAATTCATAACCCTCCTAACGCATGAGACTTGAACATAGTACTCACCAGAATCACAGAGGTGCTAAGATAACACTGTGATGAGCATAGCCTAAAGTTTTTAATACAGTTGCAAATTGTGGTTCTTTTTACCAGCTCTCTAAAAGTTGCCTTGATGGTAGCAGTTAGGTCAATGAGAGAGGTGAGAGAAGTTCCCCTGTTACATTTTTTCACAAAGACAAATCTTCATCCCAAATCTTCATTGCCCAAATTGATGTCAGAATTCCATCTGAATTATAGCATCGAGCTCCTGGTCTGCCAATCAGAGCCTTAGAGTATATCTGGTGAGGCCAGACATGTAAATTGGATATAAAAAGAACTGTTCGCTGTTACCAGAATAGAAACAAACTGTGTTGGAAATCATACTGGTTCTTCATAGCATTTGCAGAGAGGTCCAAGAGTAGAAGTTCTTTCTGTTCAGACTTTGTCTAAATGGATTAAACTAGATACCAAAACCTGCCAAGAGCAATCAAGAGTTCCAGTGTCAGAAGAACTCAGGGCTCATTCTATTAAAGCCTGTGACTACCTCTACAGCTTACCTTCATCATGTTTCCAGATCTGAGATTTATAAAGAAGCAATGTAAAGTTAAATGAATACCTTAATTCATTATTATGGTCTCAGTTATAGAACCAGATCAAATTCTGGGGACAGATTGTCCCTAGAATTGTATAAAGAGAGTGGTACAAGGAGCCCCTTGTAAGTACCAGGAGTAATTACAGTCCAGACCCTGCTCCACTCCCTACTCAGGACTGTACCTACTAGCACAATTTAGCCCTCGGGGAGGTCATTCTTCATTTCTGTACAGTCCTTTATGGTGCAAGTACAGCAGGCCAGTGTTCTCTCTCTTGATCTTCCAGGCATGTTGCTGGGGTGAGGTCTTTGATTCTCTCTCCCTACAGTCTGAAGGATGCTTTCAAAGAGTTCAGGATGTTTTCCCCCTTGCCTGGAGGCTGGTACCAAGGGCAGTGCCAACCAAAAACAGCAGCTGAATGGCCACCTGCTGACTGGCAGGTTGGTCAGTTTGAGTTATGAAGGATCTAAAAAGTTAGAAAATAATTTTCAAATCACAGAAAGCATGGAACTTTCTCAACTCTGTCATGAGCTTGATTTTCTTGAAACCTTCCAAAAATGACACCTCTGAGCTGAATTATAGAAAAACATCCTCATAAAAGGAGTTTCTCTGAGAAGGTTAAAAAGGAGTGAAGATACCATTTAAAAGAATGTTGTTTGTCCCAGGATATTAGAGAAGCAAGGTGGGTGAGCTCATATCTTTTATTGGACCAACTTCTCTTCGTGAAAGAGACAAGCATTTGAGCATACACAGAGCTCTTCTTCAGATCCTGTGTAAGCTCAAAAGTTTGTCTCTTTCACCAACAGAAGTTGGTCCAGTAAGAGATATTATCTCACCCAGCTTGTCTCATTTAAAAGAAGGAAATGCTTCCTGCAGTCTTGACTTCATAGTCACATCCATGATGCCACAATTTGGGTAAGTTTCCTTTTTAATTGCCAAAACTAAACAAATGAGTTACTTACGTCAGTGCTACTTTGTTATTGTTATAAGAAAATGTTATGCATAGGGTGAGTGTGTGTGACAGGACACAAAAGCAGCTCAGGGAGAAAGGGGTCACATTTGCACTCTCAGGATTCTGGCTGGTTATGAGCCAGTGTTGCTTCCGGGACAACTTAAAATAGGCCAGGGCTGACCTAAGCTCCGGCATTTCCTGCCTGGGCTGTCTGAGTGGCTGTGCACCCTGCAGTGTCCGTAATCGGTATAGCAATGTACACTATAGAGATCACTCAGCTTCTTCTAACATGCCTCATTCCACCCCAACACACATCTTGTGCATAGGACCTACACTGGGGAATTCTCTCCGAGCTCCCTGTGGTGCCTTTAGGGTCCCATATGCTGGCTCAGTGGCATACAGTGTCAGGAGCAGCACAGAGAATCCCTCCCATGACTCTGAAAGCCAGAGGCACCATTATGATCACTTAGTCTTAACTCCTGCACAACATACACTTGATTATATCAATCTCTTGTTTAAAAGCTTTCTCTTTACATCATGTTATCAAATATTTTGACATTTCATATATTGTTTGATTACTGAATCTGCTAAATGACTGAATCTTTCTGTGCATTACTGATGCACTGACTCAGACAAGGTCAAATTTAAAAATAACTGAGAATTCCTACAAAGGGCTGCGTGCAGCTTGCTGTGGAAATCAATGTAGTAGCCACCTATAGTACATCTGTAATGTGTGTGCAGTGAATGAAATTAAGAGGTTTCCATGCAAGGCATGCCAGTGTCCAAGGGACTCGCTCTCTTATTCAGCAAGACGGCAATGTCATGTGAAATAAAATTTGCTTAACTAAAATGAAAAGTACTAAATGACAAAGCAGCTTGTTTTTTTTCATTTGTACGTTATCTCTAGCAAATAACAGCATTTATTGGCTATTTAGAGTCCTATGTGCACAGCTTTCCACTTTAACTAATTTGGGTACCTTTAGCGTGACTTTTGGAGGTACTATACGGGTGCTATTAAAAATCAGTATTTGACACACTGCAGTAATTGCAATGTCAAGCTGTCTACTATTCTAATGATAGAAAGCTATGCATTTAGTGCCCATACTGGAAGCAGCGACTTGAGTTTTTAATGATTCCCACTAGGACTGTCAATTAATCACAGTTAACTCACGCGATTAACTCAAAAAAATTAATCACGATTAAAAAATTAATTGCTATTAATTGCATTTTTAATCACACTGTTAAACAATAAAATACCAATTGAAATTTATTCAATATTTTTGGATGCTTTTTTACATTTTCAAATATATTGATTTCAATTACAACACAGAATATAAAGTGTACACTGCTCACTTTACATTATTATTTTTGATTACAAATATTTGTATTGTAAAAATGATCAACAAAAGAAACATTTTTCAATTCACCTCATACAAGTACTATAATGCAATCTCTCTATTGTGAAAGTGCAATTTACAAATGTAGATTATTTTTTGTTACATAACTGCACTTAAAAACAAAACAATGCTAAACTTTAGAGCCTACAAGTCCACTAAGTTTTACTTCTCATTCAGCCAATGGCTAAGACAAACAAGTTTGTTTACATTTACGGGAGATAATGCTGCCCACTTCTTATTTAAAACGTCATCAGAAAGTGAGACCAGGCATTCATATGGGACTTCTGTAGCCAGCATTACAAGGTATTTATGTGCCAGATATGCTAAATATTTGTATGCCCCTTCATGCTTCAGCCACCATTCCAGAGGACATGCTTCCATGCTGATGATGCTCATTAAAAAAATAATGTGTTAATTAAATTTGTGACTGAACTCCTTGAGGGAGAATTGTATGTCTCTGGCTCTATTTTACCCACATTCTGACATATATTTCATGTTATAATAATCTCGGATAATGACTCAGCACATGTTCATTTTAAGAGCACTTTTGCTGCAGATTTGACAAAACGCAAAGAAGGTAGCAATGTGAGATTTCTAAAGATAGCTACAGCACTCGACCCAAGGTTTAAGAATCTGAAGTGCCTTCCAAAATCTGAGAGTGATGCAGTGTGGAACATGCTTTCAGAAGTCTTTAAAGAGCAATACTCTGATGCAGAAACTACAGAACCCACATCACCAAAAAAGAAAATCAACCTTCTGCTGTTGGCATCTGACTCAGATGATGAAAATGAACATGCGTCAGTCCACACTGCTTTGGATTGTTATCGAGCAAACCTGTTATCAGCATGGACGCATGTCCCCTGGAAAGGTGGTTGAAGCACGAAGGGACATATGAATCTTTAGCGCATCTGTGACACTGGCTACAATAGTGCCATGCGAACACCTGTTCTCACTTTCAGGTGACATTGTGAACAAGAAGCGGACAGCATTATCTCCAGCAAATGTAGATAAGCTTGTTTATCTGAGCGATTGACTGAACAAGAAGTAGGACTGAGTGGACTTGCAGGCTCTAAAGTTTTACATTGTTTTATTTTTGAATGCAGTTTTTTTTGTACATTCTACATTTGTAAGTTCAACTTTCATGATAAAGAGATTGCACTACAATACTTGTATTAGGTGAATTGAAAAATACTATTTCTTTTGTTTTTTACAGTGCATATATTTGTAATAAAAAATAAATATAAAGTGAGCACTGTACATTTTGTATTCTGTGTTGTAATTGAAATCAGTATATTTGAAAATGTAGAAAACATCAAAAAGCATTTAAATAAATGGTATTATATTATTGTTTGACACTGCGATTAATCGCACAATTAATCATGATTAATTTTTTTAATTGTGCGATCAATCGTGATTAATTTTTTGTTTAATCACTTGACAGACCTAGTTCCCACTCATTAGATTTCTTATACTGTGTTTTTGTTTTACAGCTGGACAAAGATTTAGAAGAGGTTACTATGCAGCTCCAGGACACACCTGAGAAGACAACATACATTAAGCAGAACCACTATCAGGATCTTAATGACATCCTCAGTATACGGAACTTTACAGACAGCAAAGGTAAGAATCACTGATGCCTGCTAAGGGCTTGGTCCTGCAAGGTGTTAAGCAGTTTGGCCCCAGTGGACTGGCTCCAGAGGGCTCTGCATTTTACTGGATTGAGTGTTAAATTATAAACTTTCATTTTGCAAATATGCAGAATCTAATACTAAACTATACTGTGTTCACTGCTTAGTTACCTCACTGTATAAAATGGCCTTATCCTGTTGTGCGCTCTAAGAGCATATCATATACATATAAAATATCATAGAGAAAGACGTTTTAAAAGATATTCAGAATCAAGGATTTTCTGTGTTGCAAGCAGGAATAGAAAGTCATAGCGGGATGATTAAAAGACTTTCTTGTTTTATTTTGAATGTTGTGACAATTAACTGAGTCAGTATTAAACATGACCTGACCTGACCTGAAGAAAAGTTCCATGTAAGCTCAAAAGCTTGTCTCTCTCACCAACAGAAGCTGGTCCAATAAAAGATATTACCTCACCCATGTTGTCAGTATTAAATATGGGAAACCAAGTTTTCAAACATGATGGTCTTATTAGGGTGTCCACATTTTACTTTTGGCAAAAAGCCGCAAAAAATAAATATTTATGTGCTTATATACTAAGTGCTGATTTGAGCTTCCAAATGTCAGATTGGAGACATTTGTGTTTGAAAACTGTTACCTAGAAATAGGCTGTGCTAAAAAGGAATTTTCATCACTACTATAGCTACCCCACAGCTGCTTTCCACCATGTATTTTGCATCACTCCCCAAAGAAATACAGGCAAAACAATTACTTCCATTAAAGATGTTCCGCTATTGAGAAGCAGCATGCTCCACTTGAGTCATAGTCAGGACACCTTGGTTCTATTTCTCGCTCTGACATTGATCTGCTTTGTGACTAAAATGGGGATAATGATGTGACAAATCAGGAAAATGGCTTATTATTCTCATTAATCTTATGTATGACCCTGTTTCCCTGTGTGGTTTGATATTGTTACCTGCCTGAATGCATAATCAAATCAAAGGGGGCTGTAAAAGTAAAATCAAGGAAGGGTAAACCATAACACATACTAGACAACCTGTAAGGTACCCGTTTCAAAGAAGTTAAGAACAAGAACTGGGCCATCAGCTGGGAGAAGAAACTACTTTGCTAGAACCACCCAGACTAAGGCATGTATCTCTTCCCAAGGCAAGGGCTGAGATCAAAATATCCTGAGGAGTTAAAAAGATGCCCCTGGCAGAAAATGGGGGTATGAGTGGGGGTGGTCTGCTCAGCTGGAAACTGACAGGAACACAAAGTCAGCATGTAGTGAGGCCGACACACAGAGTGACTTGGGAGTCACAGTCTGCAGCAAGTGAGCTGTAACTTGGTGCCCAGAGAGAACAGGGACACCAAGTCAAGTCCATGTAGGGGGTTGAGGAGAATGCCAGGCATAAGTAAGATAATATAGGTCTCTTCATACTCTTATGTACCAATTGGGCAAAATAAATCATACTTTCTTTTGGAGAATCTGCTTCTGTGTCATTGCACGTTATTACTGATCACAGGAGGAGGATTCTGGCAGCGTCCAAGCTCAATTGGACTGGTAGGCAACACAGCTGGCACCCATGGAGGTGTGTGGTTGGGTTACAGGATCCCTTCCCAACGAGAAGTAGAGGCACAGTCCTCTGACTCGAGAAGGGTTCACTCAGGAGTCTGTAAAAGGGTCTCAGAAGGGGCAGCCTGACTAGGGAGTATGACAATAATGATAACTATTATCCTTTTTAAATCTACAAATGAAAATCACTATCTAAGAGTTAAGTATCATATATGTCAAGCTGTCCTCCAGTGGCTCAAGAGCATGAGTACCAATTTCAGGGCAGGCTGTCAGGAAACAGAGCATATACCCCAAATTGGCTGTGAGTTCTGTACGTACATTTCACTAACCAAGTACCAAGTGTAAACTTCTCAGGCACTAAAACACTAGTCACAGACATTGCCTGTGGGTATTCCAATCTATTATGCCACCTAAGCAAGCTTACCTTTGTGATAGATGGTCCCTTACACCAAAAATCACAATGATATTCAGGTTACTCCCATTCCCAAAGGACAAATCACTTACCCCAGGTCAATTGGACTCTAGTTCTTATACCAAAGACAACGCTTGTAGCCAATCCTATAATAAACAATCTAAAGAATTAACTAAGAAAAAGAAATGAGAGTTATTTACAAAGTTAAAGCAGACAAATATACACACACGAATGAGTTACAGTCTTAGGTTCCAAAAGTGATAGAAGCTGCTGTAATATGCAGGTTCTATATCTCCTTTAGGGCTAACCCAGGCTAGGCAGCTGGGGATCCCTTGCTTATGCTTAGAAATCTTGCTGTCCCAAAGTCCAAGCAGCAAAGAGATACATTTTCTTCTTGTGAGGGATTTTTCAGAGTTCAGGGTGATGGGATGAGTTCATGCAATGTCTCCTCTTCCTGAGGGGAAGAAGGGGAGGAATGCAATTAACTAAGTCTTTGTTCTTTGATGTTTCACAATGGCTTATTTGGTTTCAATGGACCTTCTTGATGGGTAGGAACTAACACCTTCTGTAGGAAGCCAGCATTTTACATTAATTAATGCTTCGTTCCTGTTTGATGACTTACACAATTATGGAGGATTACCAGGCAAACACTTAATACCACTTTATAACATGGAGTACAGATGTTGTAAGTGAGATTAGTACATGCAGTATCCTACAAGCATTTCATAACGTCTAAAAACTAAACACATTTTTATAACTCTAATATCTATTTTAACAATATTTACACACAGGTGAGCCCGACTGGTTTCAGCTATTTATTTGTTGGTGTTCAGTTGAGGCCTACATGCCTTGGCATGAGCTGGCACCTGGTCTGCCAAAGTCACAATATATATTATTGGAAAAACTAATTGCTATTCATTGGGATGTCACAGTGAGACATCACAGAATTGATTAATAGATTTCCAGGTCAGAAGGGACCATGATGATCATCTAGTCTGATATCCTGTATAACACATACTGAAGAACTTCCCCAAAATAATTCCTAAAGCGTATCTTTTCAAAAAACATCCAATCTTGATATATATATTGTCAATGATGGAGAATCCACCACAATTTAAGTTGTTCCAGTGGTTAATTACTGTCACCTACGGCTGTCAATTAATCGCAGTTAACTCAGCGAGTAACTCAAAAAAAAATTAATTGTGATTTAAAAAAATTAATAGTGATTAATCACAGTTTTGATCGCACAGTTAGTACTAATTGTTGTTACCTTTTCTTGAATATTCCATTCTTTCACAACATCCAAGAAATGCTCTACACATTTTTCAGCATAATGTCTCTCTTCAGTAGGTGTTACTGCTAAAGCAAATGACTGCAGTGTCCATGCAGCATCAATCAGATGTGCTGTGACTCCCAAGATAGCAGTGATTGCTCAAGGATGTCCAAGGATCACCAGTCACAGCAAGCAGTGCATTTTTCAGAAGCTCAAACTTTGTAGTCTTCTCGTTGTGATATAGGTCATGTATTCCTCGGGAGGTGTGACTGATTGGAAAATGCAATTTGAATAACATCTCTTGGTTCTCTGTCATTTACAATGTTGAATAGTCTGCAGACCATAGCTATTCACTTTGCAATAGCATTGGTTAAGCTATTGTACTTTCTTTCATACATGGGCTTGCAGCGATCCTGAAACTCTGTAAGGTTACTCTGTCACGGCTGGAGAGATTCATTTGCTGTCGGTGGGTTATCTGTAGCACAAGATCTGGAGGCGAAAGCATGTTTAGTGTGTAGATGGTACTGCAGACTTGAAGTATTTCAATGGTATTAGAACTTAGCCTTGCAATAGCTACATATCACCGTCTTTTTATCCAGTGCAATCAAAACTATGATTAATCACGACTAATTTTTTTAATCGCTTAATAGTCCTACTTATGAAGCTCAGTCTTAAAACAAGTTAGTTTATTTCCCCCCTCTGCTCCCCTAGGAAGGCTGTTCTGGGCCTTAAACTTCCATCTAACTTCAAGCCTAAATTTGTTGATGGCCAGTTTATATCCATTTGTTCTTGTACTACCCCTGGCCCTTAACTTAAATAGCACCTCTCGCTCCCTGATGTTTATCCCTCTGACGTATTTATAGAGAGCAATCATACCTCCCCTCATCCTTTGTTTTGTTAGGCTAAACAAGCCAAGGTCCTTAAGTCTCCTCTTGTAAGGTAGTTTCTCCATTCCTCTGATCCTCCTAGCAGCCCTTCTCTGAACCTGTTCCAGTTTGAAATTACCTTTGTTAAACATAGGAGATCAGAACTGCATCCAGTATTCCAGATGAGGTCTGACCAGTACCTTGTAATAGTACAAGTGGTAATAACACTTCCCTATCTCTGCAGGAAATACCTTGCCTGATGCATCCTAGGACTTAATTAACCTTTTTCACAGCTGCATCACATTGGCAGCTCATAGTCATCAATCAATGCACCCAGGTCTTATTCCTTCTCTGTCACTTCCAACTGATAAATCCCTATGGCCTTTCACTTTGCACTAGGGCTGTCAATTAAGGATTAATTCACAGCATGAGTAATGTGTTAATTCGCGGGGGCTGAAGGCCGGAACCCCATGCCTCAAGGGGGGCTAAAGGTAGGGGATCACAATTTTTTCTAGTGGGGGGAATCACATTTTTTTTTAAGTCTACATGGGATCGCCAGCACAAAAAGTTTGAGACACACTGCCCTAAAGTTTTACATTGTTTTATTTTTGAGTGCAGTTATGTAAAAAAAAAAAATCTACATTTGTAAATTGCACTTTCATGATAAAGAGATTACACCATAGTACTTGTATGAGGTGAATTGAAATACTTTATTTTTTTTAATCTTTTTTCCATTGCAAATATTTGTAATAAAAAATAATATAAAGTGAGCACTGTAGATTTAGTATTCTGTGTTGTAATTGTAATCAATATATTTGAAAATGTAGAAAACATCCAAAAATTTAAATAAATGATATTCTATTATTA